TGAAAACTATATTACATGAATCATTTTCTTCTGTTTCCGTTTTTGTAGCACAGATTAAAAAGATATAGTCAAAGCCCCTTCCAGCTAAAAATTCTTGATAAATAACATGTCTAACAAAGGATGATTTACCACTTCCTGTGTTTCCTAAGACAATTATATTGCGCGGAGATTCAAATAACTGAGATTGATTGAAGTTCATTTATTACATAATTTTTTCAACATAATAAACTATTTTGAAAACTTTTAAATCAAATTTATTATGACATTTTTGAAATCATATTTTTCCAACAGTTTCAATAAAAGTAGGCAATAATAGCCACAATGATGAGTATCAAAGTTTTGAATTTGAAAGGTGGAAAGTGTAATTTGGGAATCTTGGTTGTTTTGTTTCAAATATCTGACTAATTCGTCGGGAGGGTCTAGACCAAAAGAGTCGAAATAATATAGATTGTGCATATCCTTCTTATAACAAACCCAATGAGTTCCCTTGCCTTCCTTTTTATCAAGATTTACGATGGCAACTTCATGTTTTTGCGGTTCATCAGGAAGACTATCGCGCATATACACCCCTCTAAAATTTTTAATATGTAAACCTTGAGATAATTTTAAGATATCTACATCTGTTAATGGTCTCAATTTTTTTCTGAACTCTGAGAGCATTTACATTGAGCAGTTATTGTGTCTTGTGAACTCTGCTTATTTTGTAGTTTGTGCTCTTGGAAACGAGGCATGTCTTATATTGAATATGGCGTGCATACTGATAAGGGCGTGTGGCTCAGGTGGTAAGAGAATTTGCCATGACCCTGTTCCATTCGAGTTCGGTTCTCGTTTTTGACCACTTCTTGTGTTCGAGGCAGTCCGCTGCCCTGCTTCACACTTCCGTGAAAGCGGGTGGATCCCTCCAAAGGCAGTTCACTGCCCAGCTCCACATTTCCGTGGTAGCGGGTGAATCCCTTTAACACCAATAAGGCAGTTCATTGCTCAGCTCCACATTTCCGTGGTAGCAGGTGAACCCCTTTACGTCACTAACTATGAACCGAACAAGATTTGGACACGCCCCCTAATTTCTCTTGTTTAAAAATCTTCTTCAAAAAAACTTCTCTAAAAATAAAAAAAAGCCTGCTCAAAAAAAATAATGCAACTTCTCAGGAACTCTTCCTCTACTCATTGAACGTAAGTTAAGCTGCTCGCGTGCAGACGCCATGTTTGGGGTTCATGGCTAAGGTGTTGTCAAATTCACTCTCTAGTGAAG